TGATCTGGATCCTGTTGATCCTCTGATCTGGATCCTGTTGATCTGGATCCTGTTGGTCCTCTGAACTGAGATGTCTCCCACTGCATCCCCATATATCTCCCTCACCCTGCGTCACCCTACTGGACAGTTGAATCTAAATATGCATTCCTGAATCTTGTGTCCTGTCACTGGTGAAATGTGCGAAAGACTTGAAGATGTTTGGAGCCTCTGAGATCGATATGAAAGTCTGTGAGCGTGGACACCATGTTCTGCTGGGTGGTCCTTTATCTATAACCTGACCTTTGGTACTGCTTAGAGAGAGGAGGGAGGATCTGTGGAACTAGACAGGCAGATATAATGTAATACATATTATTATATCTTATATGTTGGCATATACAGTAATGTGTGAGGATGGTCACGTTATTGCTTTCATGCTTTGACAGTTGTTAATGTTGCTGTTTGTCAATAAAGCATAAAGATATAAGTGAAAAATGTATTTGCACAAAAAGTTTTTTTAATTTATACTATTACTAATAAACTTGAGTCAAGTACTTGCAGACCGTTTTCATCTTTTTATTTCATTTATAACCTCATAAACATTTCTCATGTTATTTTCTTACAGAACTGCATGATGGGAAACAGACATGGACAGAATGGAAGGCAGTGGCCGGCCACTAACCAATAACCTGCAATCAATCCATAATCAATAATAACTAGGTACCAGAAGTACAACAGGAAGACGAAGAGTCCACAAACATGCTGCTGTTACACCCACAGAGAGAAAAGAGAGGTGCTGGTGGAGACTGTTGTCATGGTAACTAAAGTCTAGTGGTTGCTATGACAACAGTGAAACCAGCATAGGAGAATGAGGCTCAGGGAACCTGGAGGTCACCATGGTAACATGCTGCTCCAGAAACCCCGAGTTCCTCTAACGAGAAGTCAGCGGGGTGAGAACTCTGGTCACAAAAAAAAAAAAAAAAAGATGTCATTCAATTACGTGACATCACCTCCTAGTCTCCTCTGATTGGTTGTTTAACGGCCATATTGGCACATGTAGATTTAGGTTCGTTAATGTTTCTATTCCACATGCCAAGATATGAACAGTGTTTGTTTCATGCATGTTTCAGCCTGTTCGGATGGTCGCCGTGGTGACGGCGGCTGCTTCACGCCTGTGGTTGTTTTGTGTCAGATAACAAACGTTCACCTGAGCCCTGACGTCTGGTTAATCAGGTAACAGCAGCTTCGGACAGGAACAGGAAGTCACACACTCACGTGGTGTGAAAAGATGGAAACTGATGTAACATCACAGTGACGGACAAACACAGCGTCACCGGCATCAGACCGACCAGGAAGAAAAAAAGAAAAGACATGAAGAAAAGAAAACCAACAACATTTTCATCATCATCATCATCATCAACATCATCACTTTAACAGTTCACTGAGAGCATTACAAGTTATTTTGACCAGAAGCTAATGCTAGCCTGTGGTAATGAGAAAACATTTGAGCAAATCTTCCATTTTTCAATTACCCACAAAGCTAGAATGTAAAAAAGTCCCTCATATAATAACAAATTCAAATGTTTCCTGCAAGAGTAAAAATTTTAACTCAAACAAAACTAAAACAAACATCGATTGCTCAAATCAGACGGAAAGATTTGGACCTGATGACGACTCTGAGGACGAGTTCTAGGCCATTTCCTTCCACTGAGGGAGGAGAGGACGACCACTGGAGTCCTCTTCACAAACCAAAAACACGCTGCGACATCCAGAGACTGAGCACCACAGCGACGCAGGAAGAATTCAACAGAGTCACAGGTTTCAGATGAATATCACAGAAACATGTGTTATCCTAGCTTAGCACAAAGAGTGGAAGCAGGGGGAAACTGTTAGCCTAACTCTGTTAAATGAGGATAAGGAACTGCCGATATTTTCTGTTGTGCTAAGTATTAGATTTTAAGATTTAAAGTGCAGTTGTGTTAGCATGCTAAATGTGAACTTATGAATCGTTCAGTTTCTCCCACAGTTACTGTTTACAAGCTAACCACAGATTAGCATTATTAGAAGTGTTATTAGCTCCCAGTCAAACTGTAGCATTTAACAGATTTGATGCCTTCATTTTTTACTAAACAATTCTTTTGGAATTTTCACTCGATCTTTTGACTTATCTTGTTTAATGGCTGCTTAGTTTACCTCTGCTTCCAGTCTTGATGCTAAGCTAAGCTAACCAGGTCCTGGACCTATCTGAAGAGCAACAGAGATGAAGGTGAGATGACACAGAACCAGGGAAAAATGTCAAACTGTTCCTTTAACCTTCACCCTGTTAACCTCACCTGTGGAGCCAACATGGCCGCTGCAGGGCTCTGCCTGTGACCTTTGACCTTGACACAGTCACGTGACCAGGGTGGGGCAGGGTCACAAGGAAATAAATTATATTTACAAAAATTTTAGTCTTAGTTTTCTTCTTGCATCAAGCAAACATCGAACACAACCCGACTCATAAACACAGAAATATCCAACGAGAAGTTTCATCTTTTCACTCAGATTCTTCAGAATCACAAGAACAATATTAACAATATTCACTTTTTCACTATCAAAACACTTTGTCCAAAAGAAATGCTGCAACGAGACGAGTCCGTTCACGTCGGCTCTGTCTAAACGCTGGAAATCCAGGAAACAAGAGTCCGTGTCACCAGCAGAGGTTCAGAGTCCAGTTTGGTTCCAGAGTCTTTAAAACTCCACCGACACTTTACATCCGAACTGATGATTTCATCTTCAGTTACTAGTTTTAAGAATTCATTACTTTGTCATCTGGCCATTTAAAAGAGGAGGCAGGTAATACTCTGAAATAATTATCATCAGATACAAAATGTAGAATTGTATTTTACTGAATTCTATCTTTTTAAATGTAATTATGGAACATATAAATATATTATGGAATATTCAATACTGTATCATTAAGTCTATCTGATTATAAACATGTGACAGTAATAAATATGTAAAAAATATAATTGAGTGAAAACAATGTGATTAATGTTTTATTTTATAACTGATCAAGTTTTCTCATAATATAGTCAAGTACTTTTATCACTTTTAACTTTTCTTATTTTTTATGATAAAACTATTTGAAGTATTATATGTTACATGATGTCACATGATATATATCATTAGTAACATGTAACAATGAGACAATATCTTTAATTTATAAAGTATAAATTATTAAAGATGTATTTTTTATTTTACTACATGTGGGAGATTTCTTCAGGCGAGTGACAACAACCTGCAGTACCATGCTTCACCTGCAGAGAGCAGACCAGCCTCAGAGCTGAGGTTGTGGGGAGCTGTAGTTTTGGAGCAGTGACATCACGAAGGGTGAAAACATTGTTTTTCTTCAGGTAAAATTAGGATTTAAAAAATGAAACATCTTTAACCTCCTTCATGTTTTAACACTTTCATTTTTAAAAACGGGGAAGAATCTTATTATCTCTTACTTCATCGTCCAAGGCAGCGATGACAGAGCGTAAAAACCTCAGGTCACTTCTACACAATCAGAATTGTAAACCTGTCTGTGTTCTCATATATATATATATTTATATATATATATATATACACACACACAATAAATATATATAAAAACTTCTTCAAATTTGAACTGCTTCAAATAACTGGGCTCTTAGATCATTTATTTGCAATATGAACTGTCTTCTCTTCTCTTCCTCTGCGAAAGTTATATTTATTTTAGATTTTATATATTAAAAGTCTCTAACGCGGCAATGTTGTAATAACTGAACGTGTTGCAGTACCCTGATCCACCAGCAGGGGGACTGCTCTGACTGACACACTGAACAGGTTTTTAGGTGCAGTACTGTGAGTGGCCACATGGAGGTGAGTGGACACTGCTTCCGCCACTCGAGTCCATTTTCTGCAAACTGCTGACCTCGGCCGCTCCAGAGAAACGTTACATACGTTAAATTATACGATAAATTAAATTAGTTAAATTAACAGTAACTCACAGTAACCTTCTGAAAATTGGACGTCCAACAAACATCCAATCAGAGAGCTCCAGACTCCTGTTGCCGTGAGCTCATTGGATAAATTCACGTATTTAAAAAAATTTGGGAATTTGGGTCAGTTTCCTGAAGACGACAGTGACGGCACAACTCTGGTGGAGGCATCGCCATAGAAACAGCCGCTGGGGCTCATGGAAGGTGTAGTATAAAAACAGAGGGAGGAGTTTACTGTAACCACATTTATAAAAGTTACCTATGTGACCAGAGGCTCCACCCACCTCGCCTCACAGGTGAAAGGAGAGAGAGAGAGAGAGAGAGAGAGAGACGCCATCTTGTGTTGACAGCAGGAAGGAATCATGCAGACGAAGTACGCAACTTTAAATATACAGAGAGTGTGTGTGTGTGTGTGTGTGTCTGTGTGTGTGTGTGTGTGTGTGTGTACCAGTGACACTGGCTTGTTCCGGTTTCCAATCAGGACTGATCATCATCTAAAGACCCCGCCTTCTTAATTGCCATCATTTCTCAACTGACAGAATCACGTATTCTCGCCCTCTGCTGCAGCTACTAGCTCCTCCCCCTCTTCCTCCAGACTCTCCACAATTGGGTGGTGGACCTGAGGCTCCTCCCCCCTCCCAGCCCTTGACAAGACGTCCATCCATCGCCGCTGTAGCTCCTCCCCCTCGGCGCTGAAATACAGGGTCAGGTGACTCTGGGAGATCTTGAAGGCGTGGCGTCTCTCCAGACGGTCACATGACTCCGGGAGAGAGACTTCAAAGCCAATCAGAGGAACGCTGCGCTGCGCCTTCACGTCCTGGTGGAGACGACAAACAGACCTCATGGCTATTAGAACACCGCAAACACCGAAAGAAAATAGGGCCAGTTTCAGTGTTGCCATGGTTACTGTCTGTTCAGTGTTTGATGTGACGTACCTGTGGCGCTCCGTAGATGTAGAGCACCAGCGGCTCGTTTTCAGGGATGACGAACCAGGCCTTCTGCCAGCCCCGCCCCCCTCCTTTCTCCACGTGGTGAAGAAAACTACAAATCACGCTGTTCTCTGCCGCCAGCGAGGCCTGTTTCTATGGAGACGACAGAGACAAACTCAATGCTTGGTGGACGTTTATATTTCTGAGGAGCCTGTTCTATGGTGACGTCATGGTGACATCACAGTGATGTCAAAGCGATGTCGCACTAACCTCCAGGATCGAGCGCCTCCTCTGGATGCTGCTGGTCAGCGTAACGGGCGACGGCAACACTCCCACCAGTGCAGCGTAGCAGTCGACACAAACTCGATTGGTGCGATTGTTGTCGTATGACAAACGAGCACGAAACTCCGAACATTTCCCACAAACCACCTGGTTTCAACAGAGACAAATGGACAACAGGTGATTGTGGCTGCATGTCTCTGGTTGTTATAATCAGATGTGTCACAGTCTGATCCGTCCCCCTGTAACTTCCTGTCTAGACTGAATTCATTTATGTGTCTGTTTTAGTTTTACGTCCTGTTTTTATTATTTTGTCCTTGTCCCGGACTCACTGGACAGAACTAACTGGACAGAACTAACTGGACAGAACTAACTGGACCGTTGGTTGTTGAGTGATGGACGTACGTGTCCGCAGGCTTTACAGTGGTGTCGTCTCTTGGTGATGGAGTTGAATGGCTCCTGACACTTCATGCACAGCGTCACTTCCTTCTCTCTGATCGGAGTTGGAGCTCGTTTCCCCAGTTCCACACAACTCTGAAGAACACAAACACAATCAGCCGTGAGTACATATGTGTGTGTTTGTATATGTGTGTTTGTATACAGTATGTCTGTTTATATATATGTGTGTGTGTGTGTGTGTTACCGGGGAGTGAGGTGGTGTGGACTCATCATCTCGTAGTGAACAGTTCAAATGTCTGAAGCTCTCCATCGTCTGCTCGTGTCTCTGGATCGTTGCCTGGATGGCCTGAAAACACACACAGACACAGACATAAACATATTTTGTGTTTTTCCTGGAAACGTGTAAATATGAGGAATGAAACTGCTCTGACATCGCTGAGTTTACCTGGATCCAGTCTTTCTTGTCGTCCTCTGTCCTGCAGAGACAAACAGAGAATGAGTCAGAACCAGTTTCACTGATGAACCTGAGGTCAGAACCAGGCTTCATGTGTTTGTTCCATTGTTTCATTTGATCTGGTTAGTTTTGGTTAACAAACAAACCATGGTTCAGTTTTATCTGGACCCAAAAGGGAAGGGTCTTGAGACTGGATGTGATTGTACCTGGCCTGAAGCTCGAGTGATCTTTGCTTTCCACAAACTAGGAACGTCCTGGGAACTGCAGCTCCGCTGGGCTCCTTCAGCTGGGGGGGGTCAGAACAGTAATATCAGGACCTCGGAATCCACCATGAACCAGTTGTACAAACACAACACCACCCTCCACAACATGCTTCAGGTCTTATTGTCTCACCTCCATACCGTCCACGTCAATGCGAGCACGGACACCATACTTCTGACCAATCAGGCGCAGCTTTGGGACGCAGTACAGCAGCCTATCATTAAACTGCAGAGAGAGACACATGTCACATGATACTGTCTCTGTTGTAATGTCCTGGAAATCAGTGAAGGACACAGAGGAAAGAACAGAACCAGTATGAGGTATCGGTCCTGCGTAGTCCCGTTCTTGTTGGACAGTTTGAGGATGTATCCTTCTTTGATCAGCTCGTTAGTCGGGTTAACTATGTCTTCTTCTCCTCCCAGTAACTCGTACACCTTCAACAGCTTCCTCATCCGCTCCTGACGAGACAAACAGACGAAGGGAGTGAAGCAGCAGCTGTTTGTGACCAGCTTCAGAAGGTTGATGAGTGAAAACTGTATAAAACTCTCACCATCTTCTTAATGGCGGCGTTGGAGTGTTCAGCTGCTGTGGCGATCAGCTCCAGAGACTCTGTGGAGACAAACACTGGTGACTCTGTGAGCTCCACTGATCGTTAGCTACTGTAAGCTAATGTTGGCTGGTGTTAGCTAAGGCTAACACACTATTAGCATCATTGTCATCACGTTGATGTTGGGGTGTGTTTGTTTCTCGTACTCTGGGCGTCCCTGTGGTCCAGGGCATCCTCTGGCAGTCGGTGTAGATAATCTTTGAGCAGCAGCTCGTAGCGAGGAATCCTCTGAACCGGCTCCAACATGTGATGCTGCAGCGTCAGGTTCCCACAGCGCTCCTCCCTCTGCACAAACACAACAGACACACACAGTTTCACACACCAGCACACAAAACGACAACAAGACCAGTGCAGCGCTGCAGCAGTGCTGATCTGTACCTGGATTTCCTGGATGATGGTCTTAAACTGAGCCGATCTTTCCATCCAGGTGTTCACAAGCTCCATGGCCCGGTCAAAGTTCTTCACATACTCTCCGTACATCTTCATGAAGGGAGCCAGCTTCTGCAGGATGTCCCCGATCCGTGGGTTCGAGTCCCTGAACACAAAGAAGGAACAGAGTCAGCGTGAGTCCTGAGGAGCAGAGCCTGGAGAAAAGGAAGACGAGGAGAAGAGTTTTCCTCCTCCAGTCCACTCACCACTCCTCCATCCGTTTCTGTAGCGCTGGCAGCAGGAACTGTTGATGGAAGCAGTAGATCGAGCAGATGTTGGAGAAGATTCCCTGAACAACGTCACAGGGGAAGGAGGAGCGAGACCGCGCCTCCTCCAGGAGTCTGGCACAGAAGACCTGCGAGAGCCGGAGCCAAGGGGAGTGAACGTGATGAGCAATTTCATAAATTTATCCAAATAATTAATCCAAATGACTTCACCAGGGGGCGCTGTGCCACTCCTCTCTACCCCTCTGGAGGAGAGGATTGTAATGTCGTGAAACTGTGTTACTATGGCAACAGAAACCGCACCAACGATGTGACACAATAACGAAGACTCTGAGGTGGTTCAGGTGACTAACCTGGTCCAGGAGGTGGAGCTTAGAGACGTAGGCGATCTCAGTGTGCAGCAGCTCGTTGGCGATGTTGAAGACCCTCTGCTGGACGGACAGCTGGACAGAGACAGACAGACGCTTAAACAGATTCATCAAAACCAGGAAGTTTGAGGTTAGCAGTTAGCTTGCAAGCGGCCAGTCGTTGCCTCACAAACAATCTTGTGAGGCAACGTCAGGTCAGAAAACTTCTCCTTAAATTAATAATAAAAACTTTATACTAAGAATCATTATTTTCCGATGGTTGTCAGGGTCAGTGAAGGCGTCTCACCTCAGCAGAGTCCTGCCTGTCTGTTTTGGGAGGGGCCAGCACCAGTGTTAGCTCTGCCTCCTCCTCCTCCTCCAGGTCACTGTCTCCCTCCTCAGAGAAGTCCCTCCTCCTCCTCGCCGCTCCCCTCACCCCTAGCTCCTCCCCATCACCCTCCCCAGCATATGAGGACGAGCTGGAGAGGCGCGGGAGGAGGGCCGGGCTGCAGGGATAAACCACTCCCCCGTCCTCCACGCTGGCGAAGCACAACTCCTCGCTGTGCGACGGCGAGCTGATGCTGTCGATCCCACTGTCCCGATTGGCTAGCTTCCCGTCTGTCTGTGAGGACGGCAGCGACAGACGCTCTGACGGAAGCTCTGATTGGTCAAGCAGCGGCGGCTGTTGTTGTTGTTGCTCCCTCATCTCCACAGCGACCACATCGTCCTCCAGGTGTTTCTCTGAGGCGCTGTAACCTGACTCCATGGACAGACGTTTCTGATGGATGTCATTACCACACGCCGCTGCCAGCTCTTCATCATCTTCGTCATCATCGTCATCATTACGTAGGTCGCCCACCTCATCCTCCACTGTCATGTCATCACGACCTTCAACCTCAGAAGGCAGCTCCTCGCCTGTTGGGGGAGGGGCGGGGGATGATGATGATGGTGGTGGAGGTGAAGAAGGTCGAGAGGAGGAGGAGTCCGTGAGGCGGGGACACAGAGCCCCCCCGCTGATGTCAGGAACAACGATGATCTGTTCGCTGTGAACGAACATTAAACACATTAATAAACAACAACACACAATTAACGTACAATACTATCAGACAATCAAATCTAAAGCTATGAAACCACACCTCCTCTGCACCAATCACAACTCACCGCTCAAACTTCTCGATGAGTGACAGGACACAGGAGGGGGAGGCGGTGCCGTCAACACGAGTAGGTGGAGTCCGTCCTCCCCTGGGGTCTACTGGGAGGGGTCTATATGGTGGAGGAGGTGGGAGGGGCTTTTCCGGAGCCTTGAGGCGTGGCCTTGTCGTTGCTGTCTGCTGGAGGTGGGGGGGCTTTGGGGGGACTGTGGAGGGCAGGGTCAGAGGTCAGTTAGTGATGTCATTGATGTGTTTTCTATTAAAATAAAAATGAAAGTAAAGTTCGTCACCCTGAGGTTTGGGCCCCGGCAGCGGGGGTCGGTTCTTGCTCGGTGGCGTTAGCGTTGTAGCCGGCAGCTCTGGCGGCCCCGTGTTGTTGACCATCAGCAGCCCCTCAGCTGAGCCGCAGCGCTCTGTCAGCAGTGCCCCTCCATCCAGGGAGGCGGGGCCTAAGAAGGAGGAGCCAGGCCCCGGGTCTGAGCTCAGCTGCTGAGGAACGTCAGCATCCAGCGCCCCCTGGTGGCCGCAAGGTGAGCAAGACGGCTCCAGAGAGAGACTCTTTGTCAACAAGCTGGGACTGGAAGAGGAGGAGGGACCTGGGGAAGGGAAGGATGGGTCAAATGATATTCAACCTGACGCCATGCTGTACAGTGCTTAATTAACATGATGCATGCTGGTCTAAACACAATGCATGCTGGTTAGAGCTGCAAATTGTCACAAGGTCACTTGACCTTAAAACATGGTGGGAGTTGTTCTCCAGCTGCAGCACCTTAGGGCCGCAGGACACAACTCTGCTCTGATTGGCTGAAGGTTTCACTGACACATGATGTCTTCTGTTTTTATTCTAAGAATTCAGATGTGTTGTCTGCTCCACACATATATAT